TGTAAAATAAAATAAAATAAATAAAATAAAAAAATAAATTCCCTCCTCTTGCTAAACCACCTTGAGGGATAAACCTATAAACAAACAAAAAAGAAAATAATGAATGTCGAGCAATAGCCGTGTTAGGGGGAAAACAGAGCTCCTGTACAAGGTGGGTAAATCCTGTATCTGCCCCACCCAACCCCAACTGTTTCTTCAACTATTAGTGAAGACTAGCGTCTGGGACCAAGACTCAAAACATATGATTAAAAAAAAAAATAACTTTCTTGAGCTGTTTGCAGCCTGGATACGAGGCTTGACCACATATTGGGCTTTCTGACACCTTCAGTCATGTATGAGTGTTATAAGTAGATCATTTGAAATCTTGACAGTTTTGGAAAATCCACCCAGTAATGGTTACCACATCCCTAGTAAATCAAGCTGGCTTTATTCAAAGCCCATTTCCTGTAGTTTCCAGATCTCAGGGCCTCACCCATATGTGAACACTCAACTCTAGTGGAAGGATGGAGGCCTTCTTTGCCTTTATCTCAAGAGGCAGGTGAATCACTCTTTTCTGTTGCAAACCTGGTTGACTTAGCCACTGTGGAAGTGAAAAGTCCTTAAACTTGCATCCAAACTGGGCTTCTGGACTCCGCTATCATCCCCCACCACTCCTTGTGACACTGCAAAGCCTGACAATCTGAGCAGTAGCTTCTCTCAAGAATTAAGCTTGGCTTTCATGTTTAAACTCACTCGAACCCTGCCATAGTTTCTCCTTTCTCCTGCCTCTCCCCAGGATGGGGTTTGTGGTGCAAAGAAAAAAAAAAGAAGAAGAAGAAGCTGAGCTTTTGCAAATTTTTAAAACATGGAAGTTCCTTGGCTTCTTTTATTAAAAAACTAACCAAGGAGTGACCTCACCCCCACACCTTTGCAGGTCCCCATAGGGATGGCCTACCGGTAAAGAGGGTGTTTGAGCCAGATGCTGTTGGGTTTGCATCTGAGTTCATCAGTTGCTATCTTTGTGATCTCAGGCAAGTTACCCAAAAAGACCTTGGTCCTTACTTTCACTCCTCTGCAAAATAGAGTCCATAAATCCTACTACATGAGGTTATTGGAAGGAATAAACAAAATGTCTTGTGTCTCACCAGGAGTCAGTTATAGGGTAGGAAGTTAATAAACCAAATATTCTATCTACTCCTCAAGTGATCCCTCACAGTCAAGAGTGCAGACTAGGAGAGAGAGCGTGGTGTGCTGGTAAAGCGGCTATATAGAGAGCAGGGGATTTGTTCCTTTTGCCAATTCCCAGGGTCTAAATGCTTCCACTGTGGCTGGTACCAAGCTGCCAAACTGACTGCAGAGCCCCTGAATGTCCAGAGTTGTCACAAGCTGGCTCTGATGCACCGCACAGCAAGGGGTTCGGAGACCCTGTAACTCAAGCCGCTGAAGAGCTCACCCTGGTTGGCCAGGATGTTTCAGGACCTTTCTCACATTGCTCAGGGCCTCGTGGGTACACAGGGAGCTGCTGTGGAAAGGATGCTCTTTCTCACTCTCAGAAAATGCGTTCCACATGGGAGCTGTCTGGGACTTTAAAGATAAGTAATTTTTGCTATAATCTCTTACCTGCATCTGTTACAAAGTGTACAAAGTGCTTTCATGTGTCCTAACTTTTTTGTCTCTCCATTGTGACAGGCCCAAACCTCAGGGCAAGTGCTTTGCCCAGGGCCACACAACATGGGTGTAGTTGAGTCTGAATTTGAACCTAGCACAGGGGACCCAGAGGCATCTGTTCTTGCCACCTGCCTCCTGAGCAGGTGCACAGCAGAGCCAGGCTGTCTGCTCAGTTTCACTCTGGAGATTAGTCTCCACTCACCTGGTTGGTGACCATCTTCATGGTGACCTGATGGCCCCGTTCAGGCTGGATCTCCCCAAGCAGAGCTCCTCCTCCTTGTCTTTGCTCCAGTAGGACTTCTTGATGTCACAGGGCTTGTTCATGGCTTCTATCCTCTCCTTATTAGGAGGAGCCAGGAAGGGTATCGGGTCCACAGTGTCCCCACATTTGCCTTTGTATCCACTGGGCATCTTGGCTTGGCTGAGGAGGAGCAGGAAGGAACCGAGGGTGGGAACCAGGACACCCCTGGGTGTTGCAGGGGAAAGCAAGGACAGCTTGCCAACTTGATACAGGCTGGAACCAAAATCCCGAGAGACGGAGATGGCATTTGCTTCTCTCATATCACTTTGCAAGTCATGGTGCTGTTAGGTCTTAATAACCAAGAATACAAAATAAGCTGATAGCTCCTCAGAGCTGTGTATCCCACGCTGACCACAAAATCCTTCTGCATCTGTCATTTCATGTGCTGCTCGTGCTGAGACGGAGGATCAGGAAGCTCCCTTGACGGAGGAGAAGATGAAGTCCAGGAGAGGTTAAACAAGAACTTTCAACCATGAAATGGGACAGGAAAACAATTACCACTTGTTTTGATACTTTCTTCCAGGTATGAACAGAGGCCGCAAACCACAGTAATCCCAGCACAGCTGTGGCTTGTCTCCAATAAAAATTACAACTATTCTCCTTTCATTTTAGCATGGTTACACACATCTCAAAATATTTGCCCTCATCCCAACTTGGAAATTACGGTCTTATTAGGCTCTAAGTTAAATGTTGTCATTTAAGTCTATTGAAAAAGAAGTACACTTACTCCTCTATCACAACTGATTTTTTAACACTTTGATGGTTACACTTCAATACTGTTGTTTTCTCTTGTAATCCTACAGTTATTTTATGCATTTTAAGCTGAGCAGGGCCCTCAGCCTTCCCTGGATGCTGAGTGGGTGGTGGTATAGCACGGTCATCTGTGTTCAGTGCCTCTGTTTGCTAGGATGGGGTTAAGTCTGGGCCTCTTGGCTGCAAACCCAGGCAGTTTTACTGAAGGAGAGAAACTGGGGACTCACTGGAGCAAAGAGGTAAGTCAAGGCTTCCCAGCTTGTCTTGAGGAGTGAGGAACCTTGTAGTTTCTGAAGGGTGTGGTTGTGAGCCCCTTAGCCAGTGGTGCTATTTTCAAGGCAAAGTACAGCCTTTACCTTTAAATAACCCAGCTGAGCATGGAGACCTCGACCGCGCTCCCCTTCCCCAGCCCTGCTGTATGAGCTCCAGCTTTCCCTTTGAGGGGCTCCCATGCTTCCAACGAGGTTGAGCCAGGACAGGCAAAACTGAGTGCTTTCAGCAATCCGTGGAGTTTGACTCAATTCTGGTTCGAGCTGGCCCATTGCGAAGAAAGTAGGGCTGAGAGGCAGAGGGTGGGAATTCGTCCCCTCATGGACCACGGTCCTTTTTAGCCATCTGGTGATACCACTGGATGGAATGTTTTAAATTCAGGTATAACAGTACATAGGATGACAAAGGGAACAAATGATATTAAAATAGATTTAACAACATTAAAACATGCATGATACAGTAATACATGTGCTTCTTTATTGGCCTGTCAAATAGCATGACTTGAAAGCAGGTCTCATAACCACCATAGTTTGAAGATTTAACAGTCTTTGGAGTTACCTGCAGAGTTGTAACATGGTATGAAAATATTGGTGACTTCCTTTGTTCACAAAGTCACAGGTGTTGCTAAGCTGTGATTTGTTGTGTTATAAAGAGAAGGAAATGATCCATTTCAGTTAGAGGACATGAAAATCATAATGAAATTGTTTTCCTATGAAGATCCTGCAGCTCAGGTTAAGAACTGTATGGAGTCCCCTTTCTGGGCAGCGCTGGACAGTGGGTCCTTGGCTTCTGCCATGAGTGTCTAGTCCTTCCATCACTTGGCTCTGCCTGGAGTCACCTTGGCAGCTGGTCACCTTGTTAGGCCTCCCCCACCTCCTGCGCCCTCTCTGGAAGGTACACTTGCTCCATATAAACTTCCTTTTGTCATTTGTTCCCCTGATGGCTCAACTGCATTATCACTTTGCTTCCTCATTTTCCGAGTTCTGTTTCATAAAAACAGGGAGAGGAAACCAAAATCCACAAGAAAAGGAAATACAAGTATCAGCAATGTAGATTAAAATACATTAGAGTTGTCATTGAAAACAAAACAGCTGCTGGGAGCTGGGCGCCTTTTAAATTGTTCTAGTAGGGGAGGAAGGGTGGGAAATTCCCCTTGGTTTCTTCCAGTCAGGCTGTTCATTGTTTGTTTTAACGGTGGGTTTGCTCGAGCACCACAAGCTAAGATAGCTAGTGATGTCCTGGCCTGATCACGGACCCCCGGACAAGGTACTGCCTCTGACACCAGTTCCACCCTTCTCAGTGGCCTCCACCTCCTGTTCAGTCATGCCCCTACCTCCCAGACACCCCTGCAGCCAAATCACGCCTGTTCCCCCAGAAAACAGCTCTTCCCAAGCATTTTTGATAACCTAAACCTGTACAAACCACAAACAGGAACAACTCAGCTCACAAAATATGAAAGCTGAAAGGGCCCTCAGAGGAAAGAGATGCATTTGAGTGCGGGAAGGGCAGGGCAGGGCAGGGCAGGGCCAGGCTGAGCCAGCGTGATCCAGTGCCTGCCCATCCCCTCAGACACTCCTGAGCAAAGCTGAAACGAGAAATTAACAAGGAGAGACAGGATGCAGTGAAGTGGGGCTGGCCTGCTTCTGCCTCACTGCAAAAGCTGCGTAAAGCCCAGCAGTCATCTCCTTCCCTCATAGGTCCAGGTCCCTTAGAGCTTTGATTGAGCCCCCCAACTCTGCAGCCCCCAGGGCAGGCAGTTACCCCTCAAATGCTCAGCTGCTAATTCCCTTTGCTTATCTCTCATCATTTCATCTACTTTTCTTAGGGGATCCTACTAGTCATCCTAGCCCCTCTTCCCCCAGTGTCCCTATGGTACCCACTTGAGACCACACTGGAAGAGACTGGGTGCCCAGCAGAGGCTGGCCATTCCTTTTTATACTTATCCAACAGGTCTGAGCTAGGAAAACCTTAAAAAGGAAAAGCCCCCTAAGTGCTCTAGCAGCTTAGCTGGCCGAACCTTCCAGGACCTGCCTGGCTGCTCTTGGGTCCCTTGGGTGGTGGTGGGGGGGGAGGGTAATCAATGAGTGCCTTGCTTCTAGGACACTTGCCTTCCTCCCACTGTCCTTGTGGGGAAACTGATGACCTCAGCCCAGGGGTTCAGGCTGTGAGCAGAAATAGAACAGCTGGCCAATGAGTTTTCCTCCTGAAGCTATGACTGCATGAAGGGGGTCTGGCCCTCAAGGAGGAAGACCCGAGTTGAGTCATTCAAGGTCTTTGGCATGCATGAGCCTGAATAACCAATTGGCTCAGGCAGGAAGGCCAGTGTGTGCTTGGGCTTCATGCAGGTGGTCATGACCATGGGCCTTCCCTGGCATGTCAGTGCCTCAGAGGACAGGAATGCGGTGCAGGGACTTTCTTCCTGGCATCTGTCATCAAGCTACCTCCATCCCCCATGTCACTAATTCACTATTTTTTTTAATTGAGATGAAATAAACATAACACAAAATGCACCATTTTAAGTGACTAAATCAATGGTGTTTAGTGTATTCACAGTGTTGTACATTTAACACTTTTAATTTTAAAACATTTCATCAGCTGAAGAATAATCCATTAAACTTTCTTCCTGAGCCTCAGTAACCAGCAACCTGCTTTCTCTCTGTTCTAGGTGGTTTTATTGTTCTAGGCATTTCATATGAGAGGTTCATACAATAGATGACTTTTTGTGTCTGGCTGCTTTTATTTAGCTTGTTTTCAAAGTTTGTCTACACTGTAACACACGCAGCCCTTCCTTCTGTGTTGAGGCCGAACAATCTCCCTTTGTAAGTGTACACACCGTGGCCTCTTTCTCCATTCATCCATGGATGAACATTTGAGCTCTTCCTACCTTCAGGCTTTGTGTATAGGGCTGTCATGAACATTACAAGCACTGAGCACATGTTTTCAGTTCTTTTGCATATTTACTTATTGGAAATCTGGGATTGCTGGACCAGGTGGTAACTATGTTTACCTTTTTTAGGACCCAACAGTAGTTCAATCACTACATTTTCACCTGAAATTCACGTGGGTTCCAGTTCTTCCATATCTGTGCCCACACGTTATTTTCTGGGTTATGACCATCTTAGCAGGTGTGAAGTGGTATCCTGTGGCTCTTAGCACACTTCCCTAATGGCCAATGATGCTGAACATCTGTTCATGTGCTTGTGGGCCATTTGCATATTTGTTTTTGAAGAACTACCTTTCAAAATACTTTACCCATTCTTCAGTCAGGTTGTTTGTCTTTCTGTTGTTGAATTATAGGAGTTTTAACACATTTTGGATATTAGACCTTTACTAAATGTCCTTTCATGCACAAATATTAATTTGAATGAAGTTTAATATATCTTTTTTTTGTCATGTGTGCTTTTAGTGTCATATTTCAAAAGCCAAATTCAAGGTCATGAAGACTTATACTCTTGAAGGAAAAAGGAACCCCCTTGAGTACAAAACTGATTTTTTTGTGCATGCGTACCTCTGGTTTCTTGGAAACCAACCTTAAGCCCAAAGAACCTTGTATTTAGCACCTGCAAATGTTTTCCCAGATGTTTTATTAGAAAAAGTATTGTAAAGCTGTATTTATTTATTTAAAAACATTTTATTTTAAAGCTTTGGCCAAAGGCTAATAAGCCATGGCTCTGAATTCATAGAAAGCATAATCTGTCTAAATACCTCACCCCTGAAATGAACCTCACTTCTCCAGGGCTGGGCCTCAGTTTCCCCAAAGGTAAACCTGCCTGGGCTCTGAGATGTTTCTGGCTTACTCCCACATGATCTTCACTGGCAAGTGAAAGCAGGGACCAGTAAGAAGAAGGGGGGCCTGCCTTATGACTCTGGAGGGGATCTTCTCAAAATGCAGGTTTTCAGTCCAGGCCCCAACAGGAAAGAACACAGCCCAACAGGGCTACTATGTAGAGTTCAATGAAGGGGCGGGTGACAATGATGAAGTACATTATGGGAGCCCAAAGGAGTATGGTGGGGGCCCCCTCTACACACACACATACCACACACATACATGCACACAGAGGTGATTAGGAAGCTCCATGACTTGGAT